GTCATCTTCTTCACGACCGAGAGCTGCGATGGGAGCAGGCCCGCCATTCACTTGTTCCGGACCTGCGACAGGTGGCGAATTTGGCCACGGGACAGCGGCGGGGTGGACTCCGGCGTCCGGCGGGGGCAGCCAACTGGTCGTCGGTGTGAGCGGACAACCCCCGTCTGCAAATGCTTCGCGAGCCGTGGCCGGCCTGAGGTGTTTTGGGTGCGGGGAGTTTAGACATCGCCAATCGGTAAGCCTGAAAGGTACCGGTACTCGGGCCTTGTTTTCCGAAGAAGACAACTGATTTTTTCAGTGGGGACTATGATGGGCCGCTGGTGTACGACGTGGAGCCAAGAGAGGTGGAGGAACTAGTTCCAAGAGATGTTGGCACAACCTTGGTTCTTCGACGAGTCTGCTTGGCGCCGCGGGGTTTGGGGGACTCACCAGTGGAACGTCATCATCTGTATGAATCCACTTGTACGGTTGGGGAGAAAGTTTGTCGATTTATTATTGACTCCCGATCCTGTGAGAACATTATCGCTCCGTCGACAAATATTACAAATAACTAAATAAATAAGAAGTAGAAAAAGACCCAATATTAGTGCAACTAGAAAAGTAAATAATTTAGTTCTCTTTTTGAGATTTTTTCTCTCTCTAGAGATGTCGTTCCACTTGTTGGATAGCTTGTTAGGGTTTTCGATCTTCGCTCAAATCTCCTCCCGCTCCTCTTAATCTTCTCTTCCCTTTCCTCCAACTCTGTTCTGCAATCTCCCTCCTCTCCATCTTATTCTCTTGTCATTTTCTCGCCCCTTTTGTCCAATTTCCGTTATCCCTTCTTTCTCCCCTCGCCCCTTTTTCATCTCTCTCAGTCTTTCCCTCACCCATCCAAGCCATATCGGTTCTGTTAGTTATCCTTACCCTTTCAGAGTCTCAGATCTGATCAATTCCAAATGGAACAAGAATTATCGGACAGAATGATTAAGATCAAACTCTCTGACAAAGAAGGTGACGAAGTTGAACTTCTGGACACTGACATAGCTCTGGGATTGCATGAGTGCCAATTAAGTCTTATTGGCAAGAGCTACGGAGAAAAAAGAATCAACTTTAACGGTCTGAAGACGACACTATCAGGAATTTGGATCACCAAAGAACCATTCACGATTAAAAACCTAGGAGGAAACAAATTCCAATTTCTCTTCCAGAACGAAGAAGACAAGGAGAAGATCTTAAATGGGAAGACGTGGTCTTTCGACGGCCAATATCTGCTGCTCAAGAACTGGGACCCAACAAACCTAGATTTTCAGAAAGAAGAAGAAGTCATCAAAATATGGGTTCAGATTATCAATCTTCCCCTACACTGGATATCTGCTGACTCGGGACTGAAGATAGGAAGGAAAATTGGAAGGGTCTTAGATGTCCTGCTCCCAGGGGCAGGTAATTCCAATGGCCAAATAATGAAGATTTTAGTCGAATTAAAGCTATCAGAGCCTCTCCTCAGAGGAACCAACATCAAGCAAGGAAGTGAAAATCGTTGGCTAGACTTCAGGTACGAGAGTATTCAAGGTTTCTGCTATTACTGTGGTCTAATAGGACATTCCGACAGGAACTGTTCCTTTAAAAAAAAGGATATTCTTAATAATGTGCTCAAAGTTGGTCAGTTTGGTGATTGGTTAAGGGCTAGCAGTATCATCCCTTTTGGGCATAGGAATCCCTCCAGTAACAATTCTGAGAGTCAAGATGATGATCAGGATGTCATCAAATCCCCGAAAACCAGTTTTGATAAGAGTGTTATTGGTGATAAAACTTCTGATCAAGAAGTCATAAGAGAGCAATCTCTTTCTCCTAATCAACAGTTAGTTGAGACTCACCCTGTTGATAGCAACACCAATCTAGTGTCTGCTAACATCTCAAAAGAGATGTACCCTCCTGAAAGGGAGGTCCAAGAGAATCAACAGCTCTTGGATTCTCACCTTATTGAAGTCACTGTTTTGCCATCCTCTAGTGAGAACAAGTCTAAGATCAGACAACGAAAATCATACACCAGAAAACCTAAATCAGGTGCTCTGATGATCTCAGAAGCCATGGTGGTTGACACTGAGATGGATAAATTCTCCATTCCTAATCAAAAAAAGAGAGGCTTAGAAGATGAAAACTCCAATGTGTCTGTTCCTGATAGAAGTTCTGAAAACAAAAAGCTTAAATCATCTGATTTTAAACCTCTCATTCAAAATGAACCCAATAAGGTGGGGGAGACCAGCCTTAATTGGTCCCCAAAGGGCCAATGAAGGTTCTGGTGTGGAATTGTAGAGGTTTGGGAGGACCCTCTACAATTTCCCAATTTCGAGAAGCTCTCAGAGCTCATCTCCCTGTTTTCTCTTGCCTTTTAGAGACCAAGAAAAAACCTAAATTTGTAGCAGCTGTTTGTAAAAAGCTTAAACTAGATAATAGATGGTTCTATGAGAGCCCTATTGGCTCCAGAGGTGGCATTTTAGTTTCTTGGTCCCATAATGTCACCATTTTGCAGATTATTAACCTTGATTTTTGCATTCAAATCCAATTTTGCCTTCAGGTGAATGGACCTAAGGCTTGGATTATTTTTGTCTATGCAAGTACTGATTACTCAATCCGAGTTGCCCAGTGGGGCACTTTATTGAGATACAGTATCGGCTGGGGGGACAACTGGTGTATGGGGGGTGATTTTAATGATATTCTCTCTAATGAGGAGAAGAATGGGGGTCTAATTAGAGAAGAATCCAGTTTTGATAGCTTTAAATCTTTTGTTAGGGGTCTGGAAGCTGTTGATACCAAAGTGATTGGTCATCCATTTACTTGTCTAATAACAGAAAGGGGAACAATTTTATAGAGGAAAGACTTGATAGATTTCTCATTTCCCCTGCCTGGTCCTTAAAACATCCAAACTGCCATGTTGAGCACATTAATAATTTTACTTCTGACCACAGTATGCTGATCCTTAATACTCTTGGTCACTCTGAACCTAGCAAGAAAAGATTCTTATTTGATAAAAGATGGAAGAACATGCCTGGATTCTCTGAAGTGGTAGAGGAAGCTTGGAATCAACCAGTTGAGGGATTCAAACTATTCAGCATCCAAGAAAGAATAAAGAATGTCAGGAAAGCAATTATTGGATGGAAGGCCAGCCAGAAAACCAACTCTGCAAAAGAAATTCAGAGATGCACTGCCCAACTTAATATTCTGACCACTCAAGGAGGCAACAGAGACTGGTCCACATGGCATTCACTGAAATCAGACCTTGCTCTTGCTTACAAGAATGAGGAGTTGTTTTGGAGTCAAAAAGCAAGGATCACCTGGTTAAATGAAGGGGACAAAAACTCAAATTTTTTTCAAGCTTCTGTGAAGGAAAGAAGAAAACTCAACTCATTGGATAATCTCACCAAAGCAGATGGGTCTAAATGTGAAACTAAACAGGAGACTCTGGGAGAAATCATGGCATACTTTGAAAATCTGTTCAAATCCTCAAACCCCCAAGAGCATAAATGCAATCTCTCTGGGATCCCTTCTTCTATCACAGCTGAAATGAACCTAAATCTGATCAGAGAGGTCACTGTGGAGGAGATCAGATCAACTCTTATGGGTATGGATCAAAATAGTGCCCCTGGCTTGGATGGTCTAACTGCTGGCTTCTTCCAATCAAACTGGTCTATCATTTATCACCACCTGGTTCCTGCCATTCTCAATTTTTTCTCCTCTGGCAAAATGCCTAAAGGCCTCAATCACACTGTAATCTCTCTCATCCCTAAAAAACTCAATCCCACTACCATTTCTGATTTTAGACCTATAAGTCTATGCAATGTGATCTATAAAATTATTTCCAAAATCATTGCAAATAGACTTAAAGGTGTTTTGTCTGTTTGCATTTCATCCTCCCAATCTGCTTTTGTTCCGGGGAGACAAATTCTAGATAATGTTATTATAGCTAATGAATGCATTCACTACTTAAACAAAAAATCTAAAGGGAAAGATCATTTTATGGCTCTTAAGTTAGATATGGCCAAAGCCTTTGATAGGGTTGAATGGCCTTTTGTTGTTAGGATTCTTAAGCAAATGGGTTTTTGCTCTACTTTCATTTCTTGGATTTGTGCTTGCATGTGTTCTTCTGCCTTCTCTTTTAACATTAATGGTGATTATTTAGGATTTCTTAAACCCTCTAGAGGCTTGAGACAGGGAGATCCCCTATCTCCTTATCTCTTCATTATTGTCTCAGAAGCCTTTTCTAATTTAATATCTCAAGCTAGAATATCCTCTAACTTCAGAGGTGTCAAAATTGGGAAATATGCTCCTTGTGTATCCCATCTCTTCTTTGCTGATGACACCATTTTGTTTTGTAAAGCCAATATTTCTCATGCTCGTTTGATTCTCAAAATGCTTTCTGATTACGGTCATGACTCTGGTCAACTTGTCAACATTGCCAAATCCTCAATCTTTTTCTCCAGAAATACTCCTGCTAACTCTATCAATGCTATCTGCAGGCTGTTCCCTGGCATCTCTAGAGTCTCCTCATCCAAATACCTAGGTCTCCCCTTAGGTATTGGCAGAAATAAAAAAGAAATTTTTTCTTTTGTGAGTGAGTGTGTCTCTAATAGGCTCAGTAGTTGGAAAAATAAATATCTTAGTGAGGCAGGAAGAGAAGTGCTCATCAAGTCAGTATTATCAGCTCTTCCCACTTATGTTTTTTCTTGTTTTAGAGTGCCTGTGAGTGTTGTTGACAAAATCAGCAGAGACATAGCCAACTTTTGGTGGGGTTATAATGATAAGGGGGGTCTCAAAATTCACTGGGCTAGTTGGAACAATCTAACCAAAGAAAAAAGGGTTGGGGGGCTGGGATTTAAGGACCTTAGAGCCTTCAATGAAGCCTTAATTGTCAAACAATTATGGAGACTCATTACCAAACCTAATCTCCTTGTCTCTAGGATTCTTAAAGGTAGATACTTCAGGAGCAAAAAGTTAGGTGAGATCCAGCCCAAGAGTGGGGACTCTTGGTTATGGAGAAGCTGGTTGGGGGCCAGGAAATTCTTAGAATTGGGGGTTAGATATCAGGTGGGTAATGGTCATGATATTGATATATGGGACTCCCCTTGGATACCCAACAACTCTAACTTCAAACCTTCTAGCCATTTCCCTATTGATAGACTGAAGCTTCTTAAAGTTAAAGACCTCATTTGTCAAACCTCTAAAACCTGGGATAAAGACCTCATTCTCCAAACCTTCAACCCATTAGATGCTCATTACATTCTCAGTATTCCTCTTAACCACTTGGGTAGCAGGGATAGGATCATCTGGCATTGGAATTCTAAAGGGGTTTTTACAGTAAGGGATGCTTATAGGATTGTTCTGAATAATCTCACCCATACCTCTGACAATCCAGGACCCTGCTCTTACCCAGCTAACTTGAGTAGAATGTGGAACATTACTTGGAAACTACAGGTCAAACCTAAAGTGAAGAACTTTCTATGGAGGTGCTGGCATGGATTGCTGGGGACTAAGGCTGATCTTACTTCCAGAGGCATCACTCTTGACCCTAAATGTGACATCTGTGAAGAAGCTGATGAAGATTTGGCTCATATTCTATTTCACTGTCAGAGAGCCACTAATTGCTGGAAAATTTCAAGCCTCCATTGGAATGCTTTACAACACAGAAATGCCACTTTTCAATCTTGGTGGATGGAGCTCAGTCTAATAAAAGATCATCAAAACAAATCAGATAGACTGTGCTTTTCTGCAATGCTACTTTGGAACTTGTGGAAAGCTAGAAATGCTTGGATATGGAAAAAGGAGAGATGGCTGGAGAAAGATATTGTGGACAAATCTCTCAGCGAGTGGTTGGAGTTTGATTCTAGAGTTGACTTGGCCTCACAGCCTGCTCATCATCTTCATAATTCAACCTCTCCATCTGATGAGCAATTTTCCAAGAAGGTAGGACAACTGAGTTTGTTTGTCAGTGCCTTACGCTCAACAGAAGGAAGGTATGAATCTCATTGCAAGGCTGTTTTTGAGAACTCAAGAACTAGACACTGGAAATCAATGGAAGTAACAGGGGGCACCGAAGAAGAAATGCTTCTTTCAGCAATCAAATGGAGCCTGGGTATTGCTGCTAAAAACAATTGGAGGAACTTCACTTGCTACCTTCAGGACACAAATCTCGTTGACAAGCTTAAAAGAAGTGATCTCTACTCTGATCCCCTGCTTCGGGAATGTATCTTTGCTAGCAAGGCCATTGTTTGTGATTTTGCTTTGTCTCAGTCCACCTTGTAATTTCTTGTTTCTTCTTTGTTCTTTCTTTTTTCTGTTTTTTAGGCTTTAGGGGGTACTTGTTATTCCCCTCAGGGTACTTTCCAATTAGGTCTTTTAGGAAAGTACTTGGTCCAGTCCCTTGACTGGTCGTTTGTAAGACTTCTCTTTGAGTTTTAATGTTTTAATTACCATTTTGGAAAAAAAAAAAAAGAAAAGTAAATAATTTGGCCTTCAAAAAATCTGTTAGTTCCTCGCTTCAAATTTCATATTTTCTCAACTTTTAAATGTAAACAATCAAAATTTATATTTTTTTTATTTTAAGTATTTGATTCAATTATTAACAAAAATTGTTAATTACTTTTAAAAACTTTAGGGGTTACCCATCAAAAAGAATATTATAAAAAATCTCAATTATGAAAATATAGTTGATGCTTTTGCAGTAGAAAATGAACGAATAAGCCTTTTAAAGTAATTTAACTACTGTTTTTTTTTTCTTTTTCTTTTTTTTTTTGGCACAATGTTTTTTTAGGGTCTATAGTTCTTTTCAAAACATTATTTTTTGTGTGAAACTGATATAGTCATGCTGTCGTATAAAGGTTCAGACATTATCGAGTCGACTTATCTGAAGTCGACTCTTTCTGCGGACTTGTAATATCTCCGGTCTGTCAGGGCCCAGGCGTCTCTCTCAGTCGACTTCCATGTGTCGACTAGCAGAAGTCGACTCCTTCCAGAAAGATGGACAGGCTCACCGACGTCTAACGACGATTGAAGATGACCCAGTCGACTCGAGTTGATATCCCGAGTCGACTTAGTATGTCTCGAGGCTCATAGATCCCCGACAACTCCAATGTACTACAACATATCGTAAGGAAGCTATTAAGGATAAGAAGGAATC